TGCCCTTTAAGAATCCTGAGCGGGGATGGGTGGACTGGGCTCACGTACAGTGACTGGAGGCTGAATCTTGCAGTTACTGTTCAGATTGCATCATCATCTTCTGTCTAGACTTCCACTTTCAGGGCTCTATTATTGCCTAGATGTATAAAACCAAATGAGCTCTGACAGATAGGGACTTATCCGAGAACTAAAATCAAATTATATGCAAGTAGCCCTCATTTGATTAAATAAACATGAGCTTAAAAATCCTAAAATACAATATGCTGCAGGACATTGCCTTTCAGGACTTGCACTTAGTAATTGTTACAAGTCAGATGTGAATAGGCGGAGTGTTTAACCATCACTGAAATATTTATGTGTCACATTTAAGTATCAGGCTGCAACTGAACAGTATGAAACTTGACTATTGAATTTATGCAGGGAGAGGGAGAAGATAAAACAGGGATTTTTGCTTCCTGCAGAGTCACAACACAGTTCCTTATTCCAGCAGATCAGACACAACAAAGATTTTGCAGAGACAACAAATAATTCTCTCTAAAAAAACATGTAATATTAGATATGAATCTGAACTAACCATTATGTTCAGAATAAGAAGGTTTAAATAATTGCAAGGAGAAGAGTCATACTTTGCCGTCGGTGTCACTCTTTCAAATCTGTCACTGTCAGAGGGCTCAGCAATGTTAAAGCACTGACTTTCTGTTCTCAGCTGTCATGCCAGCTCAGCATCCAAGCAGGTATGGATTTTATTTTCACCTAGAAATGTGTAAAGTACTCTGGTATTCATACATATATAAGAGTTCTTGATGGAAAAAAAAATTGAATATACCTTCCTTGCACCCAGCTTGAATTTAAGAGCTCAGTGGGCTGAACTGAGCCCTGGAGGCAGTGAATCTATCTTCTCTGACGTAAATGGAGTTATGCCTGTGTTATGCACTCTGCATCATGTCAGCTAGTTAAAAGGCTGAATGATTAGCCTCTGCCTCCCCCAGCATCACCTGCAGGGCTTTCAGAGTGTGCCTGTAAGGGGGTTTCTGAAGTTCTTCCATAGTGCAGTGCCCGAACATTTTACAGCCATTTCTCCATCAAGTCTGCAAATCATTTTCATTTTACTGGCAGATGCAGAACCGCAGATTTTTACAATATCAGAATTTGCTTTGGCAGCTCTCTAAAACCCACTGCGTTGCTTAATGCTGTGTACTTACTATTTCTTCAGCTTGTAGTTAAGGTCAGCTGGAAGCGTAATGTGCTTGAGTGGCTTCATCTCAATGAGGAAGGCAAAGGGGATGGATGTGCTTTATATCATTTACACAAGACTTCTTCAGATATTCGATAATCTGCTGTAGAAGGGGATCTTGATCCTTTCTCCTTGGTTTGTAGTCATTGCTGCAGTGCCTCCAGGCTGACAGTAAGGAGGTTTGGGAACTGGCTACAATTAACAGCATTATTTGACAATTTATGCCCATTGATCTTTGTGTTGAGAATAAGGAAAAATAGATTTATTCAGTTAGCATAAAAAACAGCAACCATCGGATGACCAGTCATCCAGAGCTCTAAATAGCCTCTTGATACCTTAGAACAACCGTGCTGAACGCAAGGTTAATACATCTCTTTTTTTAAGAACAAATTTAAGTCCCCACTAGAAAAAGCAGGTAGAACAATGAGCAGTTTGAAGCTATTGAAAATATATGCTCCAGCTGCATTACTGTTAGCTAAGCAAGAAGCCCTTTTTTTTCCAAAGGAACTTTAAATATAGAATGTGCAAAAGATATGATAACCTTCTGATAACCTTTACTAAACATGGTAAATCTGAAACAGATGTACTTGAGATGATTCTTGAACATCGGTTACTGCTTTCCTGCTTAGTGACTGACAAATCCCAATACTGTCTTTCAAAGTCCTAACAGCTCAAAGGTGATGCTGCATCCGACCTCTTGTTCATCAGCAAAGACCTTTGTTATGTTCCTTGGGATATCTTTGACTTCCATTTTCACTAAAGGCATATTTTCTTCTACCAAATTAGTTAAATGTAAAAGCGTGTCTGATTAGTCCATTGCTTGACCTCTAGTGTTTGGATGCATAGAAATGGCATGTAAAAACCCTTCTTCTCTTCCCCCACCTGGCTTCCAAGTCCCCTGTATACTCACGTATATGAAATCCTTAGCTGGTTCAGTCATCCAGATCTTGTTTACCATGGATGTAAAGGCAACAAGTGCTAAAGCTTTTAAGATGTTGCTGTGTGTGGATATCAATAAGTGGGCTGTTGTGCTGGCTTCTAGCTGAGGTAGCAAGAATGGATAATGGGAACCCCTCTGTTGAGTAACTTGTTGCCTACAGCATGCACCCCCATGGGCTGGTGCTGCACAGGCATGCCCAGTAGGAAGTGTGTCAGTAGTGATCCTCAGTTAAACAAGACTTGAAGGAGGGCTTGCTTTCTTTCCCTTGCCAATCACTTACATTTTGCATTTGCACAAATTTAACATAATCACTGATAAAAGTGGGCCCTATGGTCACGCTGCTTGAGTGGCCTGAAAAAAATCAGCTATATAAGTTAGAAATCTGTTCAGTCACGTCTCTAGGAAACGTTACTGACATTATCCTCATCTCAATAACCCTATTTTAAATGTAATTGATATTTGGCCAAGTTGAGGAAAAATAGGAAGCTATGGTGCAATGGGAAGCTATGGCCATAGGAATTGGGATGATGCATGTGGAAACCATCCTTTAAGCAACTGTCACATACTGTTTACTTCTCTTCTCTGTTCTGGTTCTGAACCAAACAGTTAAGATTAGATTCCATAAACTCTGCCTAATCTCTTAATTTGAGAGAAATCTGCAGAATACCTAAAATATCAGATTGCAGAGCATCTTCTGAAGGAGTCTGTGGTAACAGAGCCATCTGGATGTTTTACTGAATGTAGCCTGATATATGCACTCCCATTAGGTGAGGAAGCAGAGCTATAAACCCAAATTGAATTACAAAGGGTAATGCCAGAAATGCATATTGCAGACTGAGACCTACCCTCCTCTCCTTTCATAATATGCAATCTGTCTCCTTTCAAGGAAGTACAGCAAAAAGAATATATGTTGAAAAGAGGTTTCTTCATATGAATTACATTATTATCCACCAGTCTCTAGGAACTGCCACGCACAAGAGAGTAGACTACAACCCCACCTCACGTTTTACTTGAGAATATGATTTTTTTTCCTTGTTTGTCCTTCACTTTCTATCATTTGATTGTAAGCTGTTAGGCTTACAAATACAGTGCTTCCCCAGAGCCCGAGGCAGGGGCGGTGTGGGAAACGCCAGCTGCCCTCCCTCTCAGGCTGCACCCAGCCTGCTGCGCCCAGGAATCCAGAGCTCCTTTCATCATGGACATCCTTGGCCTCTCTATTTTATGTCTGTTTACTCAGATGGCAAATAGGTGACTTGTTCTGAGCCCCTTGTACTTCCTTTTAAGCACAATTAATTATTTTAATTGATTAATATTGCACTGAGCGGGTCTTTTTGGAAGGAGTGGCTCTTCTGTTTTTTTGGACTAATTACCAGTCTGGATTTCTGAATGACAATATGGCTGCTAATTAATCTCACTGCAATTCTCACAGAAAGAGACCCTGATAAGAACTTGCCAATTAACATAAGAAAAAAAAAATGTCAAGAGTCCTGTTGTGTTTTTCTGGCATCCACTGCCAGTCAGATGAATAACGCTGTTAAATACAGAGACAGACTAAGTATGAAAGCCAGTGAGCTGTGAGGCTGCTCCAAACTTGGCCCAGAGATTATTAATTCAGGAGCTAGCTGTTATTTGTATGCCTGTTCCCTGTTGTTGCCTAACATTGCACACTATGGTTTTCGTTAGCAGGAGGACGAGGAAGGGCAGTGTGGCAAGTATCTGACCATCTCCACAGAGAATTTCTCACAGTGTCTGGATGTTCATGCTGGCAGAAGGCTGAAAGGGGGGTTTTGGCCAGATATGTCCCAGCTTCACCTGGTTTGTCTGGTGTGGCTGAGGACCTGGGGGCAGCCTGGGGTGCTGCCTGGCGCTGGAGCACTCCCACAGTGTGTGGTGCCATACAGGATGGTGCTGGTGGGCAGCAGGGACACCTCTGGGCTCCTCTGCTTGTCTCACAAATAGGGCTCGTTAGCTGTGGTGGGAAGCATTACCGTACAGCCCAAGTATTCACTTAGGTTCTTGTGGGGGAATTTTGCAGCACGTGCTGACTTTCCGGCTGCTGTGGCTAAGGCACTGAAAAAGTTCCCAGAAAAGCCTATTGAAAACCACTTGGGTGTGTTACAGGACTGCTTATCCTCAGCTGTATTTGTGGTATAGGTGTTGTCCATGAAAATAGAGGGCCAGATGCTCAGCTGGTGAGGGTCTGATCTACACCATCTCTGTGAGGCCAAGGTGAATTACAGGGACTCCTCCAGCCAGGCAGAAAGGACAAGACCTGGTGCTGTTGCCAGTTTGTTTTCATTACCTTGAATTTTCCGGGGTGGTGTTTCTGACCCACAGGATGGACCACACACTACAGGTGTTTCTGAAGAGAAAGCAACACAGCGTTTGTTGTGGCCAGTGAGTGCTGCTCTGGGTGACCAGAGAGCTGTTGCACAGTGGGATGTAGAAGGTGCTCATGGAAAGTGGTGATTTAAACTATGCTGGTTGAAGTGACTTTATTTTCTTTTTTCTTTCTCTCTGTGCTTGCAGGTCAGAAGATTCTTCACCACAGAAGTGATGTCTTAGAAACTGTAGTCCTGATCAACCCCTCAGATGAAGCAGTTAGTACTGAGGTAAGACAGAAATACTTCCCTGGATGCATCATAAAAGCTCCATTAAGTGGGCAGGATGAGAGCGGTGAAGGAGATGGTAGTTGAGTGACTGACTCTTCTGCTGACCACTTGCCCAGGTAGGAAGGATATTATCACTAATAGGCAACACGGAAACCAGATCCCTCCCCCTGGTCTTAGATCATATGCAAGAGACCCAAGGTGGCCCACCACTGGAGGAATTAACAGACCAGTGTCTTCACTCACAACACATAACATAGCAAAGAAGGGAGCAAGTCAATTCCAAAACCAGGCCTTGAGGGAAGGAAGAACTCAGGCAATCAGTCCAATCCCAAAGTAATTACCAGGAGACAGCCTCATGAGTCCCTTCCTGTCTCGATCTTGCCCTGCCTGTACTGGGAACTCTACTTGCTGTGAAGAGTCAGGAAGCCCCTTTTGATTCTCAGAATATCCAGACAGCACACACACTGTGTAAGCAGACCTCCCAACTCCAGTGCAAGCTGAGTCAGCTCTTATAGAGGTGGCTTCTTGCCCCACCTCCAAGTTAATGTGGAAGGTAGGGGCACCTGGTGGTGATCTCCTAATCAGTTCCCACCCAAGGCTGGTCTGGATGAAAAGCAGTCAGGAGGGTCTTTCTTGCCTGGTTGTGGACATCATCCATATGCCCACCCTCATTCAGGGATGAGGCTTTAACCCCAGCACTTCACTGACAAACCCCAATACTGTCTTTCAGAGTCTTAGCAGGTTATGAGCAGGTTCTAACTGTGAATGAAAGGACAGGCTAGGAACAAATATAATGAAAACTATCATTCATCCCTTGGTTTTCTCCCTGGTTTCCCAGACTCCTAACAGAATGTCAGAGGCATAGAATAGAAACACCACTGATCCCAGCACTTCTTTTCTCATAAAGAACAAAATTCCCTTCTTGGTGGAGGCAGCTGTGATGAAACTGCATTTGCATTTCTGCTCCTGCATTGATTGGTAACCCTGCATGTCCATTTTATACATGAAATAAGTGCCTGAAGGTGCCCTGACACAAATTTAGGTCTTTGAGAAGCATTACCAGCTATGTGGAGGTGATTCTAAGTTGATCTATCTGTCCTTCAAAACACCATGTGACATGATCAATGGGCTCAGGAGAGTGGCCCTGAAGAGAACTGCCAGTTCAACGTGAACTTGCTAGTGCAGAATCAAAGAAGCGAGCATGCAGCTCAAAGACACAATTGACAAATTTAGCTAGTGAGACTGAAAGTTAAAAAAATAAGGATAATTGCTTTGCTAGCCCATTCTGGGAAGCACTGACGTTGTACCATTTCTGTTGGGAAATGAAGCAGCTCTGCTTGTAGCACATAGTGAAGAATCTAGTTTGTTACCAACCTTAAGTGATATTAAACAAAACCAGGAGGAAGGACTCTGAAACAAATTAGATTTCCGAAGCTGTAATAGTTTAAATAAGTCACCTTAGTTAATGACAACTCATTCACTATAAAACCTATGTATTAAAATCTCTTATGTGATATTAGAGGTACTCAGTAAGGAGCAAGGGGTCAGCTGGGTAGCAACTCTTCATACACTTGGAGTGTCAGACTAGAAAGCTATAAAGTGTGTGTGTGTGTGTGTGTGTGTTTGTGTGTGGAGAGGGGAAAGAGCTGAAGGAACTGCCTAAAGTAGGGAAATGCTACTTCTGTCAGTTTCACTTGTACTTTTGATGGATGACCACATGGAAGAACACAGTCTGGGGCCCTTTAATGACTTCTGAACCCTGGCTTTAGTCCTTTGGCTCTGGAATATATTTGGCTAGGTTACTGTTAATTTCCTCACACTAGACTGTGGAAGGCAATCTTTTGTTTGCTTTTATCTTGCCAAAGTTGTCACAGCCAGAAGTTCCAAGCTGAGATTTACCTTGGCTGACTAAGCAGTACACTGACTGGACACAAGCCAGAACAAGACACTAAGAAAGAGCATGAGAATTAAACTGGAGGTTGGAATAGACATGCTCTGCCCATTATAGCAAATACAGAAATTAGTTTTGTGCATCAAGATATTTCCAGGTTTCATCTGGGCAGACAAGGGTATACCGTGGATCTCTGACTTCACCAGAAGAAGGACTTGAGTCTATCTGTTCAGGAAAAACAAAGGAAAATGATATTAAAAGAAATTCCTTCTAAGCTGGTTGGTAATAGCCAGACTAGTGGTAGTCAGACCATGGTTCTGCCCAAAGCTCTTGTCATGTTCTGTGAGATGCCAATATTCCTTCCAGAAGAGAGGCCAAAAGGGAGAGAGACTGTAGTTCCTCAAAGAAAACACATTTCTGATACCCTCATGAACCTTCCTTCTTAAGAGGTCCCCACTCCATTGCTCTAACGCTCCTGCAACTGTACCATAAGTCTGGGAAACCTCTGATCTGCTATCTCTGTTCACACTCCGTCTTTACTTCCATTTTGACTGAATTTACATCTCACCATTCACTTCCTTAAAACAAACTGGGACTTCAACCAAGGGTAGAGCTGAGCAGAATCATCAGTTTGCAGTACCTCTTCTGAAATGGAGTGGTCCTGATGTCAGATGATTTTCTGGTAGCCTTCAGGAAGTCTTTGCTTATATCAAGGCACAGAATTTATGTCTCTCAAAGGTCTTCCATGTGTATCATATATTATGTTCTGTAATCTGCAAGCATTTATTTAGTACTTTTTTTTTGCCATAGTTTGCTAGGTCTGCAGAACATATTTCATCACCAATCAATACAATAGGTTGAAGGGGCATTACATCACAGCCACATATTAGTGATTGGTCAGGAAATAATTCTACTGTTGGTAAACCTGGTAAGTTTACACCTAAGTTGGCAGACTGCCCAGCATTGCTGCCAGCAAAGAGAGAAAACACAGAAGAGGAAGTCAGTTCTTTCACAGTTTTAATACGGCTAAACCAGACAAGATTTAGAACAACACACATCAGACATCCAGCTGCACTTATCTATATTTTTCTGTGAAATACAAATAGATATACTTGATCCAGAAAGGATATTGCTGAATTTATAATTATTTAGTGCAGTTGGTGACAGACCAGCATTAGTCCTGTGTTTCATTAAAGGTACCTTCTGCTGCTTAGCATCAGGGTCACTTATCTAATACAAGAAGAGTGAAAATGCGGTAGAGTTGGTGTCTTCTATCAGATCCGTACTCTTCCATTCCTCTTTTCTGCTTGTACTGAAAGCACGCGTTGTTCCGCAAAGATTCAGGTCCAGGCTTCTTAGATCAGCCTTCCTGGTGTGAGTGAGATTTATTTAGAGCAACTGATTGCTTAACAATCAATGTAAAAAATTGGAAGAATAGCTTATTAGGAGAGCTGAGGTGATTATGTCATCTCTATGGCGATGCAGCTTGGATCCAGTATCACATGGAGTTGTTCCAGATGGACTCTGATCATTTAGTTTAATAAGTGGATAGCCTCATTCTTGAATCACTATTCTGGTTTACCTAAATCTCAGAGGAATTAGTGCACTTGAAATTCATACCATACCATAAGCTGAACTGTCACCTCTTCAGTGTTGGACAAGTCTTTTGAAGTCTTTTCAAAAAATTTACTCAACAGTACAGGTAGTATGGTTCTTAAATTTAAGTTGATTTCAGCCAACAAAAGTATACTGAATAGATTAATTTATCTCAGCATGCAAGTAAATCTCCCCCTGAGGGGTAAACAGGAATTATTAGTATCTGTAGTGAGGGGCCAGTGTAGTGATGTTCACCTCATTTACAATAGTTAAGAGTTAGTTCAAACTCCAGAAGAAGATTATTTTTCAGTAGCAAAGTTTGTTTATGCCATCAAACATCCACCTAATTTACTACTTTGTATTTAAAAAGGTCTTGGGTTGGCACACTTTAAAAACTTATAGTATCCATAGTTAGTGACATCATGAGATGTAAATAGTATGTGTGACTGTGTCTGAGTGCTGGAAGTTCAAGTTTATGATTGTGGTGAAGCACAGTCATCTTTTAACTTTCTTGATTATTCTGGTTACAACAGAATGACAGGCTAAATATTACATTTTGATGTGTGATTTGTATCTGTTACTTTTCAGTAACATTTTCAAAACTGAATGGCAACTAATGCTAACTCTGGGAAAAGAAAAGCAGCCTTCCTAAAATTGAGCCTGACACATGCAGTTGTCCCTTATTACCATGCAGGACACAGTTTACCAAGGCTGTCCTGATACAGTGCTATTAAAATTCACCAAGGGTTATACAAGGAAGATGTTGGTTCATTGAATATATTGGGTTTTGCATTCAAAGTTTATTCTGTTCTGCTCCTTGCTCTTTTTTTCCATGTCATTAGTTTGGTTTATACATCAGACCTTCTCTCTAATTGTTTTATGTCTCTCCTTTTTCTCTTTCGCACCTTTTTTGTTGTCTTCTATAAACAGGAAATTAGGAAAAGTAAACTGCACGTTCTCAATGGAACATAGAAATGCATTTCTATAACACGTATTTCCCGTGATTGATGTATTTCTCTCCTTCACTCTAGGTGCGCTTAATGATCACAGATGCTGCAAGACACAAGCTCCTGGTACTAACTGGACAGTGCTTTGAAAACACAGGAGAACTCATTCTTCAATCAGGGTCCTTCTCCTTCCAGAACTTCATTGAGATCTTCACGGACCAAGAGGTGTGTTAAAAAAAAAAGCATCTTCCATACATTGCTGTGTGATGTTAGAAGTTTCTAGAAGACTAAAAATGGCCCTCTGTTATTAGAGTTAGCATCAGCAGCCTGATGCTGATACTCTTCACTCTTCATTATAGGCTTTCTTTCAAAACATATATTTAGCTTCCTTTAGATTTGATGTACATTGCTTAACAAAAGAATTAAATTTTAGTTCAAGGAATTAAATAGTAACTTCCAGAAACAGAAAATCAAGGAACCTTTTGACAATGGAAGGAGATAGTGCTGTGTTTAAAATATATAGCTTGTTTATCTCAGGTGCCCATACAAAGGACTCAAATTCAACCTGACACCAGATTTTTGCCTGGCAGCTAGGTAAGAGGTGACATTAAATAAGACAGAGGCTGTCTGTTGGAATAGCTGTAGTTTTTTTGCACCATCTACGTGCTTGGCTTCTTTACAGTGGTGTTTAAAATTCGGTCAGTGAAATCTGTATATCTGGCCAGTTTTATGTACTAAAAAGGTAAGTAGGAAGTATAGCAATATTTAATACTGTTTGTTTCATGACTTATTATTTCTGTCTCTTGCTTAATGTACTGTGTCTGAAAGCTCCCATAGGGCAGGAACCTGTAGGAAACAAGCTGTCATCATTAATTTGGCTTCTGTGTAAAGTATATATTTAAATAAACTATATGGCTGCATCCCTAGGAATTTATTTCCAAAATTAATTAGCAGCATGTCAGTGGAGTGAGATTTGGAAATTCAGCATTCAAAAAGCAAAGCTTGCATGAGCTCCAGCATTATTATATCCATTTGATACACACTATTCTCAAAGCCTCTTTGTTCACTCACTGGTTGTAGATTTGGGGAAAGAGCTGGATTCCTACTCTCTGAAACATGTCTAGTGCCTCAAGCCCACTGGCAGTTTGCAGAGTTACTTCTCTATGATATTGCAGACCCAAACTTCTTGCATCTCTGGCTAATTAGCAACACATAATTACTTCGTGATTTCATGCAAAACTAGGGGCAAGTCCTACTATTACCGCTAGCAAGTGAAGTTGTTGGCTGGAAAGCAGGGTGGGGGTGGTTGCCCAGGAGTTACAGCTGCTGAGTTATTGCCACAGTGGTGGGTGTGCAGGGTGGACTCCCATAGGCTATGAGTGATGCTCACTTGGCTCTTCTCTGTGGTTGGCAGCAGGCTCGCCAGCCAACCAGCATGGCTCTTCGAAAGTGTTGGCTTCCAGATTGTTGCTTCTGAAGCCTTGGGCTCTCACTGCTTCTACAAGATCTCACAAAACCAAAAAAGTTCACATTTGCCGTACTGCAGTCTATGTATGCAACATAGACCCACACAAGTCTATAGGGCTGGGTGGGTTACACCCGAGGGTACTGAATGTTTTGGCAGGGATGCCGCTTTCCATCGCTTATTAGCAGTCCCGGCTAATTAGGGTCCCACTTGACTGGAGGTTAGCAAATGTGACACCTATCCACAAGAAGGGCCAGAAGGAGGATCCAGGGAACTCCAGGCCTGTCAGCCTGACCTTGGTGTCGGGGAAGGTTGTGGATCAGATCATCCTCAGTGCCATTATGTACCATATACAGAACAACAAAGTGATCAGGCCCAGTCAGCATGGGTTTGTTAAAGGCAGACCCTGCTTGACTAACCTGATCTCCTATGAAAAGAGAAACTGCCTAGTGGAAGAGGGAAAGGGTGTGGATGTTGTCTACCTGGATTTCAGTAAGACCTTTAACACTGTTTCACAGAGCATTCTCATGAAAAAAGAAGTCTGCTCATGGCTTAGATGGGCATATGCTCTGCTGGGTCAAGTGGTGCCAAAGGGAGCTAAATCCAATTGGCAGCCAGTCACAAGTGGTGTTCACCAGGACTTGGTATTTGGGCCACTTGTGTTTAACATCTTTGTCAATGACCTTGATGAGAAGATAGAGTACGCCCTCAATAAGTTTGCAGATAAAACCAAATTGGGTGGAAGTGTTATCTGACTGAGGGTAGGAATGCTTTTCAGAGGGACCTGGATAGGGTGGATCAATGGTCCAAGGTCAACTGCATGAAGTTCAACAAGGCCCTTTCTTGGAGGTCCCTTCCAACCTAAATGATTCTATGATTCTATGATTCTAAGGCCAAATGCCTGTTCCTGCACTTGTGCCACAACAACTCCACACAATGCTACATGCTTCGGGAAGAGTGACTGGAGAGTTGCCCAGAAGAAAGGGATCTTGGAATACTGACTGACAACTGGCTAAGTGTGAGCCAGCAGAGTGCCAAGGTGGTCAAGAGGGCCAACAGCTTGTATTAGAAATAATGTGGCCAACAGGCCTATGGGACCAATGGCCACAGGGACGTGATTGTCCCTCTCTGCTTGGTACTGGTAAGGCCACAGCTCATGTGCGGTGTTTATTTTAGGGCCCCTTGCTACAAGAAGGACGCTGATGTTCTGGAGTAGGTCCAGAGAAGGGCAACAAAGCTGGTGAAGGGCCTAGAGCCCAAGTCTTACCAGGATTGGCTTGTGGAACAGGAGTTGTTCAGCCTGGAGAAAAGGAGAGACTTACTTGATGTCTATAGCTACCCTGAAAGGAGGTTGTAGAGAGGTGGATGCCAGTCTCTTCTCCCAAGTAACAGGAGATGGGACAAGAGAAAATGGCCTCAGGTTGTGCCAGGAGAGGCTTAGGTTAGATATTAGGAAAGACTTCTTCACTGAAAGGGTCTTCAAGCACTGGAAGGATGCGATTGGATATGTCAGATGACCTATGCCTGGAATAATTTTTCTCCCACATTTCATTGGGTTGTGCTACCAGTGGCTTAACGCTGTCTTCATTATCTGTGCCAGCTTTTAGGAGCAAAGAAAGCCAGAATTCAGGAGTATGAAATAGAAATCCAGATATGGTATAATATAAACTGGAGAAGACTAATCCCAAACCTTGGCCCAGTATATTCATTAGCCCAGTTTATTACCATATGATTTTTTTTTATCTAGCCAGAAAATTGGCCTGGTATGGGAAACAGTCAGTACTGAAGTTATCTCCTTATGTGTGCAACAGAGTGGGATTCATCCATCCAGAGGAAGTGATCTTTTATACTCTTGTCTCTCTCTAATAATGTGTTTTCAACCCTGATCAGAGACAGCAAAAGGAGTACACTTGAGATCATAAATCAGTTTCAGAGGTGTGGTCTGTGCTACCTTTAGTTTTATTTCTGCAGTAAATAACATGAATGGTTCTGCTGTTTTCCTTATCTTTCTTCCTTTTCATCCTTTTCTCCTTTTATTTTGTTTTACTTTATTTTTTTCCTTTGCTTCTTTTCAGACAAAGCCATATCATATGAGTGAGATTTATTTATACTCCTGTCAAATGGTTTGGGTACTACGCAAATCTGACAAAAGAAGATGGAAAATATTTATTTTCTGCTTTGTTCAGATACGGGTTGGATTATTTTTCTTTGGATAACAGCCATTGCATCGTTGTTGACTTTTATTTTTGGTAAATACTGAAAATAAATTACATAACACAAAGAAAGGAGGTGAGACATGGACACATGGAGGCTCAAAGAAAGCTTATGCAATCAAATATTATTAATTTTTTATATGTTCATTTCTGCCGCTGATTCAGGTTGTGGTCCAAGATTTTACTCAGCTGTAGCATCATCTCTATCATCTTTATGAAAATTATTCTTACAGCTTGAACTGAGAACTGGGTCTTTGCAAAGAAGATTGTGATATTTTGTGTGATAAGGTGATGGCATATTTTGCACTGACATTTTTGTCTGAATTAATTCCTTAATGAAGTTTACCTGATTTGGTGGTCTCTGTGTAAACAGAACAGAAATGGACTACATTTAACCTAACTGTCAGTTAAAACAAAAGTCAATCCAAGTATCTGGGGAACTGGGAGAAAGTATAAAGTATGTCATACATTTCCATATGTGTTTGTCTACTTATGTGGGACCATCAAATACTGTTTTGTAGTTCAGACTGGAACAGAACAACAGCTTTTCATGCTACGGCATAGAATTCCTTGTTTTCTGTTCCTTTATTTCAGCAGCTGCTTTTGGTACGAGCAGTAACTCATTTCTTAGTATACTGGAAAACTCACCTGCAGTCAGCTGGACTAATCTGGGCATGGTGTTGGGCTTTCAAGAGCCAGCCTGCAGAAGGAACTGCAGTAGTGAAAGTGTGGTGGAATACATCTTATGAGAGGAAGGGGTGAGGAAGCCAACTCTGTCCAGGGAAGATGATGGCCTCCTCTGGATTGCAGTTACTCTCTGCTTTATCTCTTAGCTGTTTGAATGGCTCTTGTGGATGGACTGGGGCAGCTGAGAGACTCATGAGCCAATGGTAAAGACAGTGACTTCTGACAGCATTGGCCTCATAGTCCTTATACCCTCTCAGTTCAAAAGCTTGTAATATCCTCCTATAAAGGGTGGAGGAGGGAAGGAGGAACCTTGGCGTTCTGTCATCCTTTGGGCGATAGGGACCAGGAACATGGTCCTTCTTTGTATTTAAAAAAATACAGTAGTAAACTAATTGTCATAACAGCTTCCCTTATCTTCTCTAGGACAAGTACTCACCAGTGGAGAAACAAATGAAAAAAATGTATAATCTATCTGGTCAGGAAATATTATATTCTGACATTAATTGTCATTAAAAAATGAATTTACATGCATCTTCTTGTGTTTTTGTTTTACAACCCTAGATTGGTGAATTATTGAGCACCACACACCCTGCCAACAAAGCCAGCCTAACTCTCTTCTGCCCTGAGGAAGGCGACTGGAAAAATTCCAACCTTGACAGACACAACCTTCAAGATTTTATTAACATTAAACTCAACTCGGCTTCCATATTGCCCGAAATGGAAGGACTCTCTGAATTCACAGAGTATCTCTCAGAATCAGTAGAAGTGCCATCACCTTTTGACATTTTGGAACCACCAATCTCAGGAGGCTTCTTGAAACTCTCCAAACCCTGCTGTTATATTTTCCCAGGGGGAAGAGGGGACTCGGCTTTGTTTGCTGTGAATGGATTCACTATGCTTATTAATGGAGGATCTGAAAGAAAATCTTGCTTCTGGAAAGTTATCCGGCACTTGGACAGGGTAGATTCCATTCTGCTCACTCACATTGGAGATGACAACCTGCCAGGAATCAATACCATGCTTCAGCGAAAAATAGCTGAACTAGAAGAGGAACAGTCCCAAGGGTCTACTGCCAACAGTGACTGGATGAAAAATCTGATCTCACCTGATTTAGGAGTTGTGTTCCTTAATGTACCTGAGAACCTCAAGAACCTGGATCCTAACTTTAGAGTAAAGAGAAGTGTAGAAGAAGCTTGTTTTACTCTCCAGTATTTAAACAAATTGTCTATGAAGCCAGAACCTCTTTTCAGAAATACGGGAAATACCATTGACCCTATCATTTTATTTCAGAAAATGGGAGTTGGCAAACTTGAGATGTATGTGCTAAATCCTGTCAAAAATAGCAAAGAGATGCAATATTTTATGCAGCAGTGGAGTGCCACTAACAAAGATAGAGCTGAATTCCTGCTACCAAATGGCCAAGAACTAGATATCCCATTATCCTACTTCACCTCTGTCTCTTCCCTGATTGTGTGGCATCCAGCTAATCCTGCAGAAAAAATAATACGAGTTCTGTTTCCTGGAAACAGCACACAATATAATATCCTAGAAGGACTAGAAAAACTCAAACATTTAGACTTCCTTAAACAACCTATGGTTACACAAAAAGACCTGACTGGGAACATTGCTAGTCCATCTGTGAAACAAACAAAGCTGAAACAACGAGCAGACAGCAAGGAGAGTCTCAAGCCTGCTGCAAAGATAACACCATCCAAGCCTGTCAGAAAAGAGTCTAAAGAAGAAACAGCAGAGCCCGTGAAGCCTAATCTGGCACCAGAAAAGCCTCAGAAGTTGGAAAGCAAAGAAAAAGTTCCAATTAAAAAAGAGAAACCGGCAAAAGTGGAGGCCAAACCTATAGTGGGGGAAAAAGATGTAACAACTAAAGAAGAATTAGCAAAATCTGAAGGTCCTGAAAAACAAACTACAGATGTAAAACCAAAAGTGTCAAAGGAGAAAGTAGTGAAAAAGGAAGTCAAATCAAAACTTGAAGAAAAGAAAGACGAAAAAGAAAAACCAAAGAAAGAGGTTTCTAAAAAAGAGGAGAAAACCACCATCAAAAAGGAGGAAAAGACCAAAAAAGAAGAGATAAAGACAGAAGTTAAAAAAGAGGTGAAAAAAGAAGAGAAGAAGGAAGCCAAGAGGGAATTAAAGAAAGAATATCCACCAAAGGAAGCTAAAAAAGAAGAGAAGAAGGAAATTAAGAAGGAAGAAAAGGAAGCAAAAAAGGACGTTAAAAAGGTTCTTAAAGAAACAAAGAAGACAACTGCCCCTTTGACTGAAGCCAAAAAGTCAGCAGCAAAGCCTAAATTGCAAAAGAAAGAGGAACCTGCTAAAAGAGAAGCAGTACCTGCTGGAAAGCCAAAGGAAAAAGGAAAAGTTAAGACTGTGAAGAAGGAGATAAAAGTCAGTGGAGCACAAACTGCCCTTGCAGCAGTTGGAGTCACTGCCACAACTCTAGCAGCTGTAGCAGATGCAGAAATTACAGCCAGTGGAAAAGAACTTGAAGCAGAGAGATCACTTATGTCTTCTCCAGAAGATTTAACAAAGGATTTTGAGGAATTAAAAGCTGAAGAAGTAGAAACAATAAAAGAAACAAATCCTCAAGTTGCACTAATAGACGAACTGAAACTCACTGGCACGGTACAAAAAGAAGCCTTCGAAGTACAAAAAGAAAAAATAGATAATGAAGGACCTGCCGAGTCCTCTGATGAAGGCATAACTACCACAGAGGCTGAGGGTGAGTGTGAACAGACACCTGAAGAATTGGAACCTGCGGAAAAGCATCGAGTCGATGACAATGAGAAGTTTGAAGATGAAGGAACTGGCTTGGAAGAATCATCTGAAGCGGGAGATTATGAGGAAAAGGCAGAGACAGAAGAAGCTGAAGAACGAGGTGAAGACGAAGAAGAGAAGACACCACTGGACACCACAAAACCATATATGGAGGAACCAAGAAAAGCTGAAAAGAGCTCAAAAGGAATGGCTGAAGCAGATGCTAACATTAAAGGTGAAAAGTATATTGAAAAGACAGATTACAAGTCATCAGATGAACGGGCTGAGGAAGACAGAGAAGAAGCAATAGAAAAGGCAGAAAATGAAGAGACTGAAGAACAGGAGGAAGACAAAGCAGAAGACATCAGAGATGAGGAGGCAACTGAAAAAACAGAAGCTGAAGATTACGTGATGGCTGTGGTAGACAAAGCTACAGGAGCTGGTGAAGTTGAAGATAAATATGGCCTGCTCATAAGTAGGCCAACAAAACGCGCAGAGCCTCTGTCTCGGGCAGCTGAACTAGCCTCTTCTATCCATGATGAGACATTGCCTGGTGGTTCAGAAAGTGAAAACACTGTTTCTGATGAAGAAAATAGAGAAGATCAACCAGAGGAATTCACTGCTACTTCAGGTTACACACAGTCTACCATTGAAATATCCAGTGAACCAACTCCAATGGATGAAATGTCAACACCTCGAGATGTCATGAGTGATGAAACAAACAATGAGGAAAGTGAGTCACCCTCTCAGGAGTACGTGAACATTACCAAGTATGAGACATCACTGTACTCTCAAGAGTATGGCAGACCTAAGATTTCTTCACTTATGGATGCTCTTAATGGTTTATCTGAAGGATCCAAAACAGAGGCCACAGAAGGTAAAGAATATAATGCCTCAGCTTCCACCATCTCACCACCTTCTTCATTAGAGGAAGACAGATTCTGCAAATCTGCATTCCAAGATGTATACCGTCAAAAAGAAAGTGAAATCCAAGGCACAGACAAGTTAGAAATCAAAGAACCCTATCAAGAAGATGGTGGAAAACATAGTCCAGGCAAGAGTCCAGCTGACAGTTTGTCCCCTGCATCACCTGTTGCCAAGACACCACTGAATGAACGTAGCGTGATCTTTTCACTCACTCCCAATGAAATCAAGTTGACGTCTGAGCCTGTCCTTGTTGCTGCAATGCCTGACGTACTTCAAGAAGCTGCTGAAGAGCACTGTGCAAGCCCTGAAGATAAAACATTAGAAGTCGCATCTCCCTCCCAGTCTGCTGCTGGTAGTGCTGGCCATACACCCTATTATCAGTCTCCAACTGATGAAAAGTCCAGTCAGGTTCCCTCTGAAACCAGTGAAAAGTCCACAGAAGCTCTTGTTAGCTTTGAATTCAGTGAAGACAAAGATAAGTCTGGAAAAACCAGAATAAGCCCTATGGATGAGCCTGTGCCAGATTCAGAATCTCCTATTGAAAAGGTTCTCACACCTCTGCGGAACCCACCACTGATATGTTCAGGGACCACTTATGATACGTTTCTGAGTGCTGATTTAAAGTCTTCCACCAGAGATGGCAGAAGTCCTTCTGAGGGGAAACCTGAGAAAGAAAATTCACCTGTTCAGATGAGCCCTGCTTCTGAAGGCAGCTCTGTGGGCCTTTTCCAAGAAAAACAAGACGAAAAAAGCATGGAGTTTATGGTAATTAAGGAAAGCTTCAGCCTAGAGAGGAAAATGGAGGACACAGAACCCAGCAGCTCCCAGTCTTCACTGGTCTTGGATGAGCGCAAGTTAGCAGGTGATCTCTCACCTACTCAAATAGATATCAGTCAGTTTGGTTCTTTAAAAGAAGATACCAAAATGTCAATTTCTGAAGGCACTGTTTCTGACAAGTCTGCCACTCCTGTTGATGAGGTTGTAGCAGAAGATACCTATTCCCATATAGAAGGAGTAGCTTCTGTCTCCACAGCGTCTGTTGCTACCAGTTCATTTCCAGAACCAACGACTGATGATGTATCTCCTTCTTTGCATGCTGAGGTTGGATCTCCCCATTCTACTGAAGTTGATGATTCCCTTTCAGTGTCAGTTGTACAAACGCCAACAACTTTTCAGGAAACAGAAATGTCTCCATCTAAGGAAGAGTGCCCAAGGCCCATGTCAATTTCTCCACCAGATTTCTCACCTAAAACCGCGAAGTCAAGAACACCAGTGCACGATCACAGATCTCCTGAGCACTCAACTATGTCAGTAGAATTTGGTCAGGAGTCCCCTGAGCAGTCTTTAGCAATGGACTTCAGCAGGCAATCTCCAGAGTATCCTACAGTAGGCACTAGTATGCACCATATATCTGAAAATGGGCCAACAGAAATAGATTATAGTCCTTCAGACATACAGGAGCCTACCTTTGCACGGAAGATGTCTCCTGTAGAGCAGTCCTCTTACTCTCAGGAGAAAGATATTTCAGAAATCATTTCAGTTTCTCAGATTGAAGTTTCATCCTCAACTTCTTCAGCTCATACACCTTCCCAGGTAACTTCACCACTGCCAGAGGAGACTTTTTCAGGTGCTGTTCCGCCCAGAGATATGCCACTACATTCTTCATTTACCTCAGAAAAGGTGCAGAGCCTAGGAGAAAAGCTGTCACCAAAGTCTGACCTATCTCCATTAACTCCACAGGAATCTTCTCCTCTGTACTCTGCTAGTTTTCCGGATTCAGCTCATGCAGTCACAGAAGTAGTGTCAGCTAGTCTCACACCTTCGTTGTCACTGCAAGTGTCTTCTGTCAAAGCGTTTGCTCATGAGGAACCCCTAACAAAGCACAGTCCAGAATCTTTATTCAGCCCAGAAAAAGAAGATTCAGAGAAAAGCAGCAGGTCACCAGAAGAACTTAGTTATTCTTATGAGGCCACAGAGAAAACTGGTAGGTCACAGGAGGATATTAGCTACTCATATGAGGTAGTTGGAAAATCTACTAGATCACCTCAGGCCATGGATTATTCCTATGAGACAACTGGGAAAACCACTAGGTCACCAGGGGCCACAGATTATTCTTATGAGATCATTGAGAAAAGTATGAGGTCATCTGAGGCCACAGATTACTCTTACGAGATGACACGGAAAACCACCAGCTCACCAGGGGCCATGGATTATTCCTACGAGATCACTGGGAAAACCACCAGGTCACATGGAGCCACAGATTATTCCTATGAGACAACGGGGAAAACCACCAAATCACCAGAAGCCGTTAGCTACTGCTATGAGACAGCAGGGAGGGCCACCAGATCACCAGAGGCCATGGCTTACTCCTATGAGCCAACTGGGAAAACCTCCATGTCACCTGAAGCCACAGATTACTCATTTGAGACAACTGGGAGAGCCATCAGGTCACCTGAGGCTGCTAGCTATTCCTATGAAGCAAGTGCACATTTCACTCCGGGAAAATCGCTGGCAGAATCCCGTCAAGACGTTGACTTATGCCTTGTGTCCTCTTGTGAATATAAGCATCCCAAAACTGAACTTTCACCCTCATTTATCAACCCGAACCCCCTTGAGTGGTTTGCAAGTGAAGAACAGTCCCAAGAGCATGGGAAGCCATTAACTCAATCTGGGGGAGCTCAGCCACCTTCTGGGGGAAAGCAGCAAGGGCGGCAGTGTGATGAAACCCCTCCCACGTCCATGAGCGAGTCTGCCCCATCTCAGACTGATTCGGATGTTCCCCCGGAGACTGAGGAATGTCCTTCCATCACTGCAGATGCTAACATTGACTCAGAAGATGAATCAGAAACCATTCCAACGGACAAGACAATTACATACAAGCACATCGACCCGCCACCTGTCCCCATGCAGGATCGCAGCCCTTCCCCTAGGCACCCTGATGTTTCCATGGTTGATCCAGAGGCTCTGCCTGTTGATCAGAATTTAGGTAAACCTTTGAAGAAGGACCTCAAAGAAAAGACAAAGACAAAAAAGCAGAGTACAAAGGCCAAATCATCTTCTCCTGTTAAAAAAAGTGACGGTAAATCAAAACAAGTGGCTTCCCCAAAGCCTGCTATAAAAGAATCTTTAGACAAAATTTCCAAAACACCTTCTCAAAAAAAGAAGGAGTCTGTGGAAAAGGCAACCAAAAATGTCTCTAATCCAGAAGTAAAGTCTCAAGTGGAAGAGAAAGATAAGGACACCAAGAATGCAGCAAATACAACATCCAAGTCGGCAAAGACTGCAACCACAGGTAAAGATGGATAGCAGTTCCCTAGTGTTAATATTTTCTCAGTTGTTGCAGTGAAGTTTGGTTTACTATTGTATCAGCTGAGAATGTGAGAATTTGTAGCAAATACCCAAAGAAAGTTCCAAGTTTTACACATAAATCCAGCTTGTTAATGCCACATTTAAATGTGTGGAATTCACTAATTTAACATTAGTAATCTGAGAAACTTGATGTGTCAGTTTGTTCAGAGAGTACATAAAGTATAAAGAGCTTATTACTAGATGTCTAAACTGTTAACCAGCTAATAGAATTAAAAGTACCAATGTTGTAGAAAGTCTGTAGCAAAGTCAACCGCTTTATTCATTCTATGAAACAAGTAGGCACAGTTCTCTTAACATAAATTAATGCAATTTAATGTTATGGGAGGCAGAGGTACTATCAGCCGTCAGATACCCTTATTACTTTGCTGGTTTAATTTTACATGGAGTATTTTTTTTAAATGCTCCATTTAACACTAGCATGACCACTTTCAGTAACTAAGCATATACATCGTTTAATCCGGTTAAAGTCTTACACCCTCCATGGTGACTGAACATACAGAAAGTTAATGTCATTTTGAATGGCTGTTATGTATTCTAAGTAGTAATAAAATACGAATTAGGTTACTGAAGGAGGCATTGTGCTAATCTGTTATTTCCAGCAGGTCTTGTTAGTCAGTGTTTGGGGGATACCTTGATTTTGCTGTTGTCAGGAGTACTGTTCTGATGAAAACTTTTTTTACAAGGAGCAGGTCTTGGATTTAGTACAAACAAACCAGCATTCAGCTGCCTTTATTTTCCTCATTTTGAGTGGTCCACTGTTCCTTTCTTATGTCGTCATTTGCACAGCTCTGTTTGTAGACATGTTTCAAAGCAGGAGTGTAGTTCCTCACGCTGTACATTGCTCCAGCACTTCAGCTCTGTGTGGGAGTCTTCTTCCTTAAAGCATTCTTCTCAGGTATATGCTAGACTAGAAGTCAAAGCTCTGTTTCATAATTCCGTTTAAGTGTAAAATGTGAGATCCAAAGCTTTATCCAGTGCTTGTATCCACAATTCAGAAAGATAAATCACAGATTTTTCATTACGATAAAAGATTCTGTAACATAACCAGTAGTAAAACTCTCTAATTCAAGAAATCCTGTCGTATCATGATGCTTATTTGGCGTACTTCCCTGTGATGAACTGGAGGACATGCTAGACAACTGTAATGGACTTGGTGGCCTTACAGTATGTGACCATACATAGAGTGTATTGCTCTGGTAATTGTTGCCAAGCTTCATTGTCTGTAACAAGATGGGAAGGCTAATAGGACATAAATGGTGATCATCTGGATAAAATTACTGCTTGAATCCTGATTTTCAGTTCACACCGTGATCCAGTATGTAGCAAAAGCTGATTTTTTTTTTTTTTTTTTGAGTGGTGTTTAAACTTTGAACTTCCGCAAACTGAAGCTTGTCTTAGAACAAATCATGTACTGTACAGCAGCAAAACCATGCTTCTGCCAGCTCTTTGTGTAAAGTGACTAATTTGTATATGCAAATAAGGATCCAGCAGGCAAAAAAACACTTGGTCTCAGTTCTCTGGAGTAATTGCTTTGCAAGTTTCTCTGTCCTCTGGAGTTTTCCTCATACCATCTTTCTGCTCACGTGTAGTATCTACCTGATGCACCTGTAAGGCAGTCTGAGCATTTTTACAGCTGCCATGCTACCATGTCTTGCTATGTCCTGACACCCTAAATCTGAGGACAGCTTCAAATCTGCATGGCTCCTTGTGTAACCCTAGGTTTTATAATCTTTCTTTTGAAAACCCATGCTTCTTAGCCTGGAAAATAATGCCATCATTCACTGAAGGGTAATTCAGTAACCACAGCCCTCTATAGCAGTTGATGTTTATTAGTAGTGTACTACTGAGAGAGGTTCAGACAATTTTTGGTTACGTGGTAGAGAGTTTTTATTGCATTATATAGTTACATTTATTGAGGTTTTTCCTGACGTTACAATCATAACTGGGATACAACAAAGCAGGAGCATGTCATCAGAGGTAAGAGGGTAATGCCATAGTTGGACACATCTCACCTCAGCAGTTATGACAGTGACTATAAATGTGTGTTTTTAAACAGCCCGTGATACATTCTTTTGTTTCATTTCCAAAGGTCCTGGGAATACTAAGGTGACAAAATCTACAGCAGTACCCCCAGGACCTCCAGTATATTTGGATCTGGTGTACATTCCCAACCACAGCAACAGCAAGAATGTTGATGTTGAGTTTTTCAAGAGAGTGCGATCATCCTACTATGTGGTGAGCGGGAATGATCCTGCAGCTGAGGAGCCAAGCAGGGCTGTTCTGGACTCCCTGCTGGAGGGCAAGGCACAGTGGGAGAGTAACATGCAGGTAGGCTTTTCACCAGTATCTCTACCTGGAAATTTAACCTTCTCTGGGAAGCAACTGCAGGAAGCCAGCGCACCTCTGGCATAGACAGTGTCTGCCAGGGAATGGGGTCTCCAAGCTGGACACCCCATTCCAGTGATGATGTGAGAGGACACCCAGGTGAAGCACAGAGCTGCACCACGTTCAGCCACTCCCTTGTTTCTGTCCCTTCTGGTCTGTTTCTGGTGAATAGAAGAGTTGTGGGCTGGTTTACAGGGCCATTTGGCAGTTTCATCTTGTTACTATACCGTATATGATCCAAGTTTGGAAATGTTGCAGATTTTAAGTGGGAAAGACAAGTGAGTGTTTCATGGTTTATATAGCAATCAGGTGCACTTGGAAACTTCATGTGCCTTTCCGTCATGACCAATAAGTAAAAAAAAAATTATTTGGCCATAATGTGAAGAGCTATCAGTGCAGACTACAGACTGCTACTTCTCTGGAAAGCTGCATCTCAGCTTTTTACAAAACCAAGGTCTTATTCTGAGGAACTGCTTCTTTGCAGTCATTTTACTGTACCTGTGTGTTTATTTCCTTTTATCCATATGTTGATTCAAGTACTTATTACACAGAGACCCACTCTTAAAAACATACTTGTTAGAAGGGGCTTCTCACAAAGATGTTTTCTCATCAGGTGTTTCTGTTGTCCATTCCTCAGGACTTCTTTTGTTTTGTGTTGCAGGTGACCTTAATCCCGACCCACGATTCAGAAGTGATGAGGGAATGGTACCAAGAGACCCATGAGAAACAGCAGGACCTCAACATCATGGTTTTGGCAAGCAGCAGCACTGTTGTTATGCAAGATGAATCTTTTCCTGCATGCAAGATTGAACTGTAGGAACAAGACCATGCATCACAAGATTAAATTTTGTTTCCAGAATTTCTTCAGTTTGAAAACACCTTTTCTAAAAATTCAACCCATCTATTTCAACTGCTGAACTGTATACCTGCCAAATGCTATACTGTGTCACAGTGAGGCAAGTCACTAATATTTTTCAGTCTTTGCTGATTGCTAAGGGAAATAACAGTATTCCCACAGTAGGTTTCAAATTACTGCAAAAATACAGATCCAGTTTCATCTCTGCTGAACATTTGGAAACCATGCACTAGCAACGCCAACAGACTTCTGCCAGGTCGAGGCATTTGCCCTCTAAAGAAACACAAAGAAAGAGAAAGAGAGAGAGGGGTAGGAGGAGAAGTAATAAATAATTAAATCTGCATTAGTCTCATGGCAATAGATGTATCGCTTACTGTAGTTTGCTTATGCTTTCACATGAAAATAAAGTTTAAAATTTTTATCAAACTGAGCTATCGCAAGGGGGATACTTTTTTACAGAATTAAGTTAGGTGGAAAATAAAAAGAAACAGAACATGGCTAAGAAGGGACGTACAACCTAAACACTCATCAGCAGTTTTCCACTTTAATTTGAACTGCACACTGGCATACTGTAACAATCATAGGCCAAATATGCATGTAGTCTGCACCCCATCTAGAAGTCTAAAACCTTCCTTTCAACATGCAGAATTGTTGGTCTGAGGCATGCTCCCAGGGAAAGTCCACTCTATCCAGCCAGAACTGACCAGTCCACGTGCTTAACACCCATGTCCACTGTCGATTAACTGAAGCAAAATACCAAAGCAGTCAGGAGAAAATATAGTAGACAATTTGCCTTAGAAAGTGACTTGAATGTACAAAGAAACTTGATGCACTTATTTTTTAATGTTGAGACAGCGACTTTATAAAACATCTATCTAGAATCATAGTTACACCAGTACAGAAGTGTAAGTGTGCATGTGTGGTACTAGAAACCTATACTGACTGGTCAGGTGGCTTGCGCATGTTAGTTATGTGAACACTTCACTGATGCACCTGGACAGCTCAACAAGGCAAGATGAGCGGTTTTTGGGAAGTTTCTTTTGTGCTGTGGAAACAAGATTGAAGTGGTGTCCAGTGTCAGAGTTAAACACCTTAGTGAGACCTTCAGAAGGATGAAAAAGGTTACCTGCGAGCCTGTACAGTGTTCGACCTTCCTTTGTCATACCTTACTTTATTTGTTTAATTTAAGAGTGAATACAGGAACAAATGTACAGAACCCTTTTTTTTAGTGCTGTGTGAACTTTTAACAGATGCATTCTTAACAAATGCTTTCATTTACAAGAAACTGCAGACAAAACTTTTTCAGCTGAAGGCAATTTTTTTAGTAGTTTTCTAAGATAATCAATAATTTTGTTTAAGGTTCTAGAGAGAACGGATATTAAGGTAAAATTTATTGAAAACAGACAACTGCCAATACATTTTGGGGATATGGGTGTGTGGCGGTAAAATTAATTTGTTGATGAAGAGAGAGAATGAGATTTGAAAAGTTGATTGACTAATACTTAGAAAGGTGTAATCTACATTCTCAACCCTCACAATATCTTGAAAAAGGATAGAATAAGCAATAAGCTAAAATAAGTCACACTTTCCCTCTTCCCTCTTCCCTCTTCCCTCTTCCCTCTTCCCTCTTCCCTTCCTCCTGCCTTTCCTCCTCTTTTACCTTCAAATTTCCTCTTCCTTCTTCCTTTCCTTGCCTCTTTTTTTTTACTCATCTTTTCCTCTTCCTTTCCTTTCCTCCTTCCTCTCTCACTTGGTTTCCTTCTCTAGACTGCTTGCAGACAAACAGCATCACTGTTCTGTGAATCAAGACAGTTTGGGTATTTTTAGCCTCAGAAGTTTTACCCCAGTTGAAAAAATCTTGTTACCTTGCAGAAGGTTTGCAAAACCTGAATTTAAAGAAGGTGCAAAGGCCTCCATAATGGAGATATATACTGGTCTGTGTGATTCACTATTATGGCTGGTATTAAGTTTCACAATGTAGTCAACTATGACCTCAATTTTTTTTCTTTACTTATAATTTATTTCAACTTTACATTGTTAGGATATTTCTGTTTAATAGGTATATGTTTGCACTCCTAATTTTTATGAGGGTTTTTTTATACTGCCTTAGGGTCCTTTAAATGTGGGCTCTTGAGGCCCATTTAATGCTGTGAATTACTGTTTGTCAGTTGTTGGGACTTCTGATTTATTTTTAATGTCTTCTCTTTTTTTTTTAGGTGTCTCTAGCAATGCTATTTTATTTATTGCTTACCTTTAAAGTCCTTAACTCAAATGACTATGGCACAGAAGGCAGATGTAAACGTATTGTGAAAACAAGCACGTTTGCTGGGTTCATAATCGTTCACTTCAAACTGCTTTCATAATCCATAGTCTTCAAAGTTATAGGCAAAATGCTGGGCAGAGTAGTTGTGCTATTCCTACAACTCTTTCTGCTTTGTCTACTTTCCTATAAAGGTCAGATTTCAAACTTTTTGAGTGGGTGGGAACAGTTTTTCTGACAATATCTGAAACGGTTTCTATCTTGTACTTCAGCAGAAAATCTGTTTTAAGTACAGCAGTGGCCTTGAGACTAATCTTGCTTATGCCACTTAGTCCTGTGAATCATGAGCAATTTTACTACAGTCAGGGAAGTTACAGTCATTTGGTCCTACTGTAAATGAAATTGGAATCAAGCCTTAAGTCCCCCCAAGCAAGTTTGTGATGGCTCAAGCACTTGTTTTGCTTTAAAAAATAATAATAATAATCATCATTAGACGGTTACAGCTGATCTTAAAATATACATTCACTTTTATTGCTGCTAAAAGATTATTAAACCCCCTGTCTGGCTGTTCTGAGGTATTGTAATGCCTGTTCCATCCATTCCCTTCCAAATGGCAACGACACGTGGGTGCAACACAGCAATGAACTCCTCCATTAGCTCCTCTTGCCCTTAATGTCTCTCCTGCCTGTGGAACTAATCTAACTGTGCTAGTCCTACCACTACACAATTAGTTTAGTGTAACAGTCATCAAAATGTACCATGTACATTAACAATGAGTGCTGTTGATCAGCATAGATTTCTAGGAGCATGGTTTGTTATTGATTACTCTATAATTACAAAGACTCAATATCTGAGTCTTAACGGACACTCCATTTAAATGATGGTATTACCCATAACAGCATTCCCAGTCATGATCTTTATGCTGTTACTGTACTGCTTCATAAAATTCAATGAAGAACTAACTTTGGGGATCCCACCTCACTCCTGAACTTGAACAGGGCCTCTCTTGCATGCCTATTCAAAGTCCTGTGGTGGGCCTAGCTTCATTGAGCTCTATTTTCATCCCATCTTTCATAGAAACCTTTTTTTTCTTCCCACTTACTTTGCATACTGTGTTGAATGGAGATAACTGTGTATATGACTATGGGGATTCTTAAATTGTCTATGATAGCTTATGCATTTTAGGAGAGTTCTAGTACTCATTTAGTAAGATTTAATCAATTTGTTAATTGAATTTTCTGTCCCTCCCAACACAAGCACATCAGCTCCAAAGGGTGCTTACTGTGCATTTGGGACATTCCTGTCATATGCTTCTCTTTGTTCATCTGTCACCAGAGGTTCTTGCTTATTAATGATGTTTGAGAGAAATAGTAATTTTGTTGGTCTGGATTTATTAGAAAAGCAAAAAGCATAATGTTTACACTTGAAAGAAACTCTAAGCTTTCATCTTTTCTCTTAATAATTGAACAAAACAGGAAAAGCAACTAAGAGTAAGCATTTCTTAGAATGCAATTATATTATTCACCTGGTTTAAAAATGTTTGCTATTTAAAATAAAAAAAAAAGAAGTCTGTTTGTTGTGACTTTACCAAAAAAAAAAAAAAAAAGAAAATAAATAAAACAATGGCATAAAAATACAAGAGAAAAAAGAAAAAAAAAAATAAAAAGCAGCTTCTGTGCACTAGACTAGCTAGGAGCTCCAGAGAGCAGGAGCTACCTCTTCAAGACTGGGCTGTAATCACGACCGTAAAAGAGAAAATCTGAAATACGCTGTCACGCGTTTGCATGCAGCCGTTCTCTTCCGAACTATGGAAAGAAACAGTCTTGTTGATGGCTGAGAAGCACCTCACACACCTCCTCTCTCTTGTTCTGAATGGTGTTTGTGTCAGTCTGCAGCTGTGTATGGTATTATGTCTTATAATCCTGCATCACTCCTATCCAGTCATATCTAAGGTAGAAAATTAGTTTCCAGTGAAAGTAATATGTAGTGCTTTTATGATATTTGTGTGCAATATCCCCTCTTCCATTGAGGATATTTGATGTAAAGGAAACAAACTCAGTTCCACAATAAAATACAAAAGTGGTAAAGTGGTGTTGATATGTTTCTTGTCTGTGTATGTACGTATTTTTAAGTTTTCCCTTCTATCATGATTACCTACTATATGTTTTTTTTTTTTCTCATGGATTAATGACTATTGAACTGCTAGATAAGAGCTGACCTCTACTTAGAAATGGTAGAATAAATGTGGAAGATTTCTTTCATCTCTTGTGGCCTAAAACATTACCATGATGTACCATGATGTGGCTTCTTTTGGTCTTATTTCTGTATCCCATGACAGCATGAGAAAACACCTAATTTTCAGTAAGGACACGTTCAAGGGACTGAGTCAAAGGTGATACCAATTAAAGGTACATCAAACTGAGCCCACCCTTGTTTGGTAAAGATGTCTATTCCAAAATTGTTGCAGTTTAGTGAGAGGGTGCAGCTCGTCTCCAGCGGACATGGACCTTTCTGGACTGCTGCTGCACAGTAATCCCGATGAGAGGGGATGGGGCATTTGGGGAACCCGGGCTCTCAGTTTAGTTTTTTACCTTCTAGACATGACTTTCTGCCGTTAAAGAGATGCTGTAAGATGGAGGTAATCGTAATTTTGCTTTCTGCCGTGGTGCTTGCCACAGCGGCGTGCGGCAGTCAGCACTTACCCTTTTCGGCACGGGGAGATGGTAGTGACAGGAAAACAGGTAAAGGCTGGGGCAGCTGGGAGCAAGGGCTGCTTGCTCCCAGGAGAAGCAGTGGCCCTGGAAGATTGCCTTCACCCTCAGATGTCAGTCTCCTGGGCCCTTAACTGCCTCCAATGTCTAAGGTTTCATCTCTAATTTCTAGTGATGTTAATAAGAAATACTGTGCTTGTCTTGAGTTGGGCTGAGCATGATGAGGTAGACAAAAATGAAAACTAGGTGAGGGGAGTCAACTGCTGCAGATCTTGTATCTCAAGTATAATTCTGCTTATGTCTACATCAAGATTTTTTGAGCTGTTGTGGTAAAGTAGCGTCAGAAATTTTATTTTCGCTAGTGTTAGTGAACAAATTCAGTCATCTTATGCAATATTTCAGATGGCATAGGAGAATGATAGTCCCTCAGACCTTTTTGGTCAATCTAAATTGAAGGATCTGTCTTGTGGCATCCTAGACCT